CGTCAGTGGGCCGAGTTCCTCCAGCTCTGCCCCAGGGGCGTGTAACACGGTGTCGCTAATCCTCCTGGGACAGCTCTGCCTGGCGGTGGCTGGCACAGCAGGAGGAGGACAGGCATCCACAGACCGCGCATGCAACTTTTTTGAGACGCATTGCTATCCCCTTGAAAGGTGTTATAACAGCAATTCAATTACAATAAATGGCACACCGCATCCCCGCAGCTGGAAATTCAGAAACTAACTGGTGGACTGGTGTAAAGGAATGCCGCTAAACACACACTGCTTCATTTCCCTCTCCTCTAATTCCCCCTCTTTCCATCTTTTCTCCGCTCTGTATCAATTGTAGCTGGACCACAGGTTAATTAACTCCAAAGAGCTTAGTCTATCTGGATAGAAACACACTGAGAAATTGGCAGGAGAGCCGAAAAGCTGGACATGGGGTCCAAAAGATTGCTTGAAATTCCCCGCGTTTCCCTCCACCACTGCAGCTCTTGCCTTCAAGGAACAGAATTTTAGTCCCTGGGGGCAGGCAAACCACCTGGGAGTGTGATCAACTGGGCGTGCGTGCCGTGATGTGGAAATCCCCATGTCTGGGCTTAGATCATGGAGTCTCATACCGAGAGATGGTGCCTATTAAATCCCAGCAGGCATAGTCTGCGGGCACCCAGGGGGACGGACGTCCGGTCTGCTTCTGGTGTGTTGCCACTTTGAGTTCACTGGACACACTCTCCATTTATGTGTCATGGCACGTGCATTTCAGACTGAACTTTAAAGAGCGGTCCATGAAATCAACAATGTCAACAAAAAAGAGGCAAGGTGATGGGAGGATGGGGGTGGCAGGCGGGCTGAGCTGCCTGCCTTCTGGGATGGCACTAACCACGACTGTACTCCGTATGTTAAAGTCTAGAGGCAGGGCTGGAGGAGGGAGGAGCCCCTCACCAGTCAGTCTGGTATTCATTTAAATAAAGGTAAAATTAACATTCTCTCCTTTGAAGTTAGAGAATGGATGGCTTATAAGCAGATTTTATTTAGTGGATATCATATCAAAATGGGAAGAAAGAAGCTGCCTCGTCTGGAGCTTTTAGTTCCAGGATGTTTTTTAAAAGCATCATTTTAGAAAAGGCCAAGACCGCAGCGTGGGGGTTCCAGTGCTTTCTCGCCGCCCCGCAGGGCGGGCCTCTCCCAGCGGCCATAGGAGGTTTCCAACCCTGGAAACGCGGTTTTCCACCCCAGTGGTAACACAGCCGGAAGATGCCTACGGTCGCCCCACTTCTCCCCACCCAGCACTCGGCTAGGCCCGGAGGTGTTTTCACGTTTCACTCCTGGAGAGGGATTAGAACGGGGCTCCGGCGGGCCGTGGGCGCGCGGGGTCCAGCGTCCCCGAGCCCCCCGCCTGAGCCCCACGCCTTCCCTGCCCTGGGCGGCACCCCCCACCGCCGCCCTGTCCCCGGGGTCCGGCAGCTGCGAAGCGGGCCCCACTCGGGGTCTCCGGACTCGAAGCCGGCCAGGCAGAGGCGCGCGGGATCCAGCCCTGGGTTTGGCCCGGGATGGCCAGGGCTGATCCCAGAGCAGAGCACTCTGTGCCCGCGCTGCTGTAGACACACCGAGCTCCGGCCCATGGGCTGCCAGAAGCGTCTGGGTAGTTTTCGGTTTTGTTTGCTTTAAAACCTAGAGGCGCGGGTTCCGTTCACGCTCCGTGAAGCCTCTGAACTCCAGGTTGCAATTCTCCGATGGGCCCTGACTTTTTGCCCCCTCTTTCTTTCTTTCTTTTAAATACGGCGAGAATAGGATGGCGAGAGGAAGGTTACTCGTGTCCTCACCTCCCAGGGCTGGAGATGCTAGAAAACGAGGACCCGAAGGTCACCGGCAGCCTGTGATTTGGAATTGTCGCCCTGGTCCGCGCCCCAGGAGTTACTAGTTAAGAGGCTGCGGGAGGGGCATTCTGCACCCGTCCCTGGCCGGGTCCCCCGTTCCATGGGTTTCACCTCCCCTCCTGGCCCCAGGAAAGCCCTCTGTTGTGAGCAAAGCGGGTGGCCCGGCCCTCAAGATCGCATAGTTATGGTGTTTTTTTGGTTTTTGTTTTTTGTTTTGTTTCCCCTGGAGCCTCCTGCCAGCTCTACATTCTGCAGGGAAGGTTACCCCAAGACCTCCCACGTTCCACTGGAGGAACCTTAAATCTCTCTCCCGCCTGGTTTCGGGGGAAATCGGGGGCACTCGGCGCGCCTGCGGTGGCATCGATCTTAGCCGAACCCTGGCCCGGCTGCGCCGCCACCCTGTTGGGGCCCGGAGCGCGGCTCCGCATCGGTGGCGGCAGTTTCCGGTTGGCCAAGGGTCCCCCCCCTGCCTCCCCTGCTCCCTGCCGGTTATCCCGCTGGCCCTTGTTCCCTCCAAGCGTTTCTCCTGGAAGCCAGGACAGGCCCGACCGTATTCACTGCACAAACCCCCACCTGCCTCACTTTTAAAGCCCAGCTGGGGGCCTTGGTCCCTTGCAGGAGGGAGAGAGCGAGATTGAGAGCCCAGTGAGGGGCCCTCCTGCAAAGACAAGGCTCCCCTTCGTTTTCATCTTTGCCCAAGTTTTGAAAAGTTATACTTAGGACCTGCTCTCTCTTCTTTCACTGTGGATCTGGACAAAAACAATATTGAGGAAGCCGATCTGAGGGTAGGGGCCGCCCTGCAGGCACAGGGCCGCTCCCTTCAAAACTTCTGGGGCCGGAAGTTCTGCCCTGGTGACTGAGGTGTCTGCAAAGGCTTAAATGTGAGACTCCAGGGTCACGCTACTCCCCCATTTCTCACACACACACACACACACATACCCGCCTTCCTTCTGGAATCACCAAAACTGGGGCACCAGAAGCCGAGTTCTCTCATTCGGCCTGGCCCGGGAAAGAGCTGCAGCAGCTGAGGCCCGGCCAGCCGGCCAGGTGGCCACCCAGCCACCCGGGTTCTGCCACTGCACCCCGACTCCCATGTGCTGGCAGCAGGTGCCCCAACTGGCAGAAGAAATCAAGGATTTGAACTTGTAAAACCAGTTAGAACAACTCTTACACTCTTTCCGTCCTGCCCACCTGTTAAAGAACACATGTTATTAACGATTTGAGTCGACAATTCGGGGAACAGAAGACATTCTTTATTCTGCTCTCCTCCACCACTATGGGGTCCCGCCCCAGGAAAGACCTCTTAATACATGCTCTTGAGGGAAATTCTCAGGAATCCAACTTTTGCTCACCTTGGCCTCAGACTTAATGAAACTCAACTATAATTCAGATTATTTCCCAAAAGCACCTTGTTGCTTAAAATAGCTAAGTAAAAATTAAAACTGGCATAGTGATGATCAAGAAGTCCTTTTTTATTTTTCTGCTCTTCCTAAAGTTTCGTCAGACCACTAGAAATCCACTTTAGATGATTCCCATTTTGGCATAATTGGTGTTACTTCTGGTGGTCGGAAAAGTCTTCCACAGCCCTGGCTGTCAAATCAGCTTCTTTGAATCTGCTCAGCCTGGTCCCATTTCAGACTTCCTTAGAACTTTTCTCAAAGAAACGCCTTCCCAGCGTTTTATTTTTGCTTTTATTTTCTTCCCCCAATGGATCAGTCACAGAGACAATTGATTCTTCTGTGTCCTGTCTGAAGCAGAAAGTTTGACATCTTGGTGAGGGGGAGGTAGACAAAATATGAGTGAAGATTCAATCCCATGAAATATGAAGCAGCCAGGCCAATCCCGGTTTAATGGTTCAAGTTGTGTGTGCATGTGTGTGTGTGTG